ATAATTATTTATTGTCACGAACTTGGCATTCTAGGTAGGTACGCAATTCTCTAGTAACTTAAATGTAAAAAATCATTTTTAGAAATTTATTTCCCAAGTTGCTCGCATGAGTAAAGTACTAGGTCCGTTTAAACCAGTTGCGATATCTAAATTAGTAAATGAGGCACACCTCACGGGGTGTTACACTACATATTTTCAATGAGAAAACTGGATTTTCTTGGCAATGTCCTAAAACGTTCATCAATAAAGAGATGCATTAATCAAATGACACAATGACAAAACGAAAATACAAACCCAACTCCCGCATAACCGTTACGTTCTGATTGGGATGGAGTAGTTCTTATTATTTTTTCTGCAGGAAAAATGTAAACAGCCACAAAGATCAGATGCAAAAGCATCATTGTACGTCAAGATGTAATAAAAATTCTCCAGTTTACAAACAAGGATGACCATATAATTTGAACAAAGCTTCTGTTTTTGGTCATTGCAACAATAAATTAACATATATATGTGCTGAGGAGTCTTCTAAGTTTTTCAAAAAAAAACGATAAAACCACAAAATCAAAAGTTACCATTGATTTAAATTCTTGAAATTAATAACTCAAACCAACATTCTCAAAAAATACAATAAAAGATGGTCAATGTTATAACGACAAATCCGTTACCTTTGTTTCAAATACGGTTGGAAAACGATGATCTTACAATGAGCGGGTCTCAATCTGAATCAGTCGGTTGCATTCTGCGTGGACAACTCGTTCTGGCAATTACTGAACCTGTTAAGGTCAAAGTAATTAAGCTTACATTCCAAGGAAAATCAAAAATCTCAGTGAAAAAAGGTACATTTTTGTTATTTATTGCTTTTGCCAAACAACTTTTGTTTTCATGGCACTTATTTACACATGCATTTCCTGTTAATTTCAGAAAGCGATACAAATGTGACTGATTATTGCGAGGAAAGAATATTATATCAACATGATTGGGTCTTCCTCTCTGCACAAAATAAATACCAAGTACTCAACCCTGATAATTATTATTGG